CGGAGGGCTGCAAATCACAGAACCCATGGAGAGCCAGAGTCCACAACCAGATCATGTGCGGGAAGCATTCTCACCATAGGCCACAGGGGTCAGCTTCAGGACTGTGTGCAGTGGACACTTGAGGTAGGGCAGCTGTTCTGTGGACACAGACAGGGAGGGCTGGCACCAGGGCTGGCTCTGTCTCCCACACACCCCACCTCCCCAGGGGCGGGGGCAGCGCCCACACCTGCTGCCTTGTCAAGGAAGTAGGCCAGGAGGCAGCGCATCACAGCCTGGTGGCAGATGACCAGCACATTCTCTTGCCTCTCCAGCTCCATGATGACAGGCTCGAGTCGCTGGACCAGGTCCTCATAGGACTGTAAGGACAAGGGGGCACACGTCCCTCAGCCCAGCCCCAGGGTAGGGATGGAGGCATCCTGGGTAGAGGGCTGCCTCCTTGCTCCTGGACTCCTCACCACTCTGGGAGATCACCTCCCCCATCCCAGAGCCAGGTCCTGGTAGGACCAAGAGGGCAGGCCTGGGGCTCACACTGCACCCAAGGGGCCACCTCCAAGCCCACCCACGAGGCCCTTCGCTGAACCCTCAGCTGCTGGAATTCACACCTGGCAACTGATGACTGATGGAAGAGACACTTCTCCCTTCCAGCCCACGGCAGATAGACTGTGCAGAATGAACCTTGGGGGTGGGGGGTAAAATCTCCTCAAACTTTCCAGATTGCAACCTGTCAGAATGTCTGAGGTCCCTAGGAAGGACCCTCACAGATTGCCTGCCCTAGCCCTCCCCTGGGTATGATGAGGGAGCCCTTGGACCAACCCCTGCACCTTTCATCAGGAGACACAGCCCTGGAGGTTTACCCCTCTTTGCACACAGCTAGAGGTCCTTCAAAAAAAAGTTCTCAAGCTCTGAGCTGAGTTAGCCCCAGGCTTTGATTGGGAATAATACCAACTGACTTGTGCTGGCCCCTGATATTTCTGGGGAAATCCTACATTGCTTCTTTTGGTAACTGATTTCCCTACCAATTTCTCCCCCTGTATTCTCAAGTTTGAGCAGCCAGCTGCTTTGTTTCTTTTCACTGTTATCTGGGTCGGTTCTAGATCTGAGCTCCGTCTCACAGTACATGTGGGGAAATGAATGCTACCCAGGACTGTACTGTTCCCAGGACAGCACAGCACAGATGGCTGTGAGCCTGGCATCCAGCAGAGAGCCTCCACATGTGTATGCGTATGTGTGTGCACACACCTGTGTGTCTATGGGGGCTGTTTTTATTTGGCCACTGCCCCAGATCACCTCGTAGAAGTGGGAGATACAGGAATGAAAGGTGACCCTGTTTCTGCCCTGGAGCCTGGGCTGAGGTGGGAGCTAGTTTGAGGGGAGGTGATAAGTGCAGGTGGCTTGTGATGCCCGTGACTAATCTGGGGAAGGTGAATCCCTAGGTCTGGATTCAGGGCTGGGAATGGTGTCAGGAGCTGCTGGGAGAATGGGGTCACCTTGGGATGTCCCCAGGAAGGGGGAAAGTAAAGATGGGAGTGATGGGGAACAGGGATCCAATGGGTCTCGAAGATGGGAGCCCTGTGCAGCACTGCCCATCCACCACCCAAGGAGGGGACAGCAGTCTGGGCCACGGCCAGGAAGTGAGAGAGACAACACACACCCAGGCTGCCGACATGAGGCCACGCCCTCCTGCTACCCACGCAACCTCCCAGAGCCCACGGGGCCCTCAGTCTCAGGCGGTCCTCCCAGGCAGGCAGCAGGTGGCCGGGACGAAGCCCCCAGTCCCACCTACCTCGCCCTTGGGGTACCGGTACCGGTACTTGTCCTGGTCTCGCAGGGCAAATTCCAGTGGATAATGATCCTGAATTTCCTCGTAGGTCATTTCCTCACAGACGCCCTAAGGAGACACCACAGTCTTCACCCCGCCCATTCCAGGCCAGGGGATCAGCCCTGTGTTGGGGGGAGGGCACTTCTTGGGCTGGGGGCAGGGGCACACTCTCAGCCTGAAGCTTGGAACCCAGCTGGGAAGAGCGCCTGCTCTGGGAACGCTAAGCAGGTGCCGCTGCATTTGGAAAAAGCTATCACAACAGTCTTTCCCACCCGCTCATCATCCATCCATCCTGTTTATGCCATAAAAATAAACACAGAAATGTTAATTATGTGTCTTTCCTAATGTGTCTTTTTGTTTTCTGTGCTGCGGAAATATTGCTTCTGAGTATGGGTTACTGTACAAGCTATAAGCAAGATTTCACTGGTGTCATTAAGGACACACACTCGCAGCACAGAGAACCTTATACAAATGCCATTTTTGGGGGGGTGAGGGGAGGTAATTAGGTTTATTTGTTTGTTTATTTTATTGGAGGTACTGGGGATTGAACCCAGGACCTCGTGCATGCTAAGCTCACGCCCTACCACTGAGCTATACCCTCCCTCTTCTACAGACGCCATTTAAAAACAAAACAAAGGAGCCCAGGAAAACGTGTGGACTGACTGGTATCAGTCCTTCAAAGGCTCAAGCCAAGCGCTAGCACACAGGATGTGCCCAGAAAGGAAGCAATAAAACGCCAGTAATAAAAAGCTGCTGGTTTCTGCCTTTGTTCTAGTGTTGTTTTTTTTTCCCTAGACAAAGCCTTGGGGGCAAAGTTGTCTATGAAAAAGGCAAGACAGAGAAGAAAATTTGTACCTGTAAATACCTATATCAAAAAAGAAAAACCTCAGAACAACAATTTAATCCTCCACCTGAAGATACTGGGAACAGAGCAAACTAAATCCCAGGCGAGCAGAAGTAAGGAAATAATACAAATTAGAACAGAAATGAATGAAATAGGAAACAGAAAATAGAGAACAGCAACGAAATCAAAAGCTGCTTCTCTGAAAGGATTAACAGAATTCACAAACCTCTTCCTAGACTGACAGGCAAAAAGGAAGCCCAAATTATTTAAAACCAGGAATGAAAGAGGGGTATCACTATGAAGCTTACAGAAGTAAAAGGGACTACTATGAACAATTACATGCCATCAAATAAGGTAACAGATGAAACAGGAAAATTCCTAGGAAAACACAAACTTCCTGCTGTGAGTTGAATGTGTCCCCCCAAAAAGATACGCTGAAGTCCTAACCCCTGGGACCTGTGAATGTGGCCATTTGGAAATCAGGTCTTTGCAGATGTAATCAGGTAGGTGAGGTCTTCAGAGTAGACCCCAGTTCAATGATTGGTGTCCTTGTAAGAGGGCCATGTGGCAACGGAGACATGGATTGTAGTAATGCACTGTAAGCCAAGGCCTGCTAAGGAATGCTGGCAACCACCAGGAAGTTGGTAAAAACACGGGCATTAAAAGTGATTCTGGTGATGGCTCAGAAGGAAACGAAGGACAGTAGAGAAAGCTTCTCTTGTCTTAGGGAACACATATATCTTCATGAATAGGATGTCACTAGAAGAGGGAAGGTACAGCTCAGTGGTAGAGTGTGTGCCTAGCAAGCATGAGGTCCTGGATTCAATCCCAGTACCTCCATTAAAAAATACATAACCAATGTTCATAGCAGCACTATTTACAATAGCCAAAACATGGAAACAGCCTAAATGTCCATCAACAGGTGACTGGATAAAGAAGATGTGGTATATTTATACAATGGAATACTACTCAGCCATAAAAACTGACAACATAATGCCATTTGCAGCAACATGGATGCTCCTAGAGAATGTCATTCTAAGTGAAGTAAGCCAGAAAGAGAAAGAAAAATACCATACGAGATCGCTCATATGTGGAATCTAAAAAACAAAAACAAAAACAAACAAACAAACAAAAACAAAGCATAAATACAGGACAGAAACAGACTCATGGACAGAGAATACAGACTTGTGGTTACCAGGGGGGTGGAGGGTGGGAAGGGATAGACTGGGATTTCAAAATTGTAGACTAGATAAACAAGATTACACTGTATAGCACAGGGAAATATACACAAAATGTTATGATAAATCACAGAGAAAAAAATGTGACAATGAGTGTGTATATGTCCATGAATGACTGAAAAATTGTGCTGAACACTGGAATTTGACACATTGTAAAATGATTATAAATCAATAAAAAATGTTAAAATAAAACCTAATCACACACCCTCCCAAAAAGTATACAGTGCTACATGTCAGTTGTATCTCAATTAAACTGAAGGAAAAAAATTTAAAAAAAAAATGATGCTAGAAATATAAAATGTTAAAGGTGCCTCTGGCAAGGCCTCAGAAAGAAATGAAGTGCATGCTATTGGACACTAGAGAAAAGGCAATATTTATCATAAAGCAGGAGAGAACTTGGCTGAATTGTGTTCTAGTCTGGGTCACTATGAGAAAAAAAGATAATGACAAATGCTGACAAGGATGTGGAGTCATCAGAACCCTCATATACTGCTGCTGGGAATGTAAAATGGAGCAGCCACTTTGGAAAACAGCCTGACTGTTTCTCATAAGGTTAAACACAGAGTGCCCATATGACCCAGCAATTCTACTCCTGGGTATCTACCCAGGAGAAACGAAAACATGTATACTGATGTTCATAGCAACATCGTTCTTAAAGCCAAAAACTGGAAACCACTCAAATGCCCATCAACTGATGGATGGATAAATAACATGTGGTATATCCATGTGATAGAATATTATTCAATAATACAGAGGAATGAAATATGGATGCATCCTACCACAGGGATGAACCCTGAAAAAAACAGCTAAACAAAAGAAACCAGTCACAAAAGACCACACAACATCGTATGACTCCATTTATATGAAATGTCCAGAACAGGTCAACGTATAGTGACAGAAAGTAGATTAGTGATCACCTAGGGCTGGGGGAGGGGTTGGAAGGAAACGGGGAGATGGGTACAGGGTTGCTTTTGGAAATTAAATGTTCTAAAATTGATTGTGGCGATGGCTGCATTACTCTGTGAATATACTAAAAAGACTGAATTATACAGCTTAGGTGAACCGTATGGTCAGTGAATTATATCTCGATAAAGCTGTTATTTTTTAAAAAGGAAAAATAAAGCAGTAAATTGTGTTTCGGGGCTAAGAAAAATAAATCCCAGTGTTGACATAGAAGGCTGTTTACCACCACAGAAGGAAAGAAAAAAGATAAACACAGAAAGATGACTAATAGATCATAGACATCAGAATAGTTACCAAACTTGAAGGATAAAGAAGGGAATCCAGAGTATCTAGGAAAACCATCAGATTAACTTCAAAGGGGAAAAAAAGTCAGGACTGCCAGGGCTTCTCTGCAAAACCAAATGCTCAAGCCGTAGCCATGTCCCTGGAGGGCAGACTCCAGGCCGCTAAATGGGGAGCTGCTGTTTGTGTGAAAAAGAAATCGGGGCGAGAGACTTCCCATAACTCCCAACAGCCACAACTGATGGAAATGGGTTAAGTGAACTATAAAGTGAGTTAAAAAACTGCTTACTCTTTTGAAAGAGTTCACCAGTTCTGAAGAAGAGATAAGACAGATAAAAAATAAACCATGACACTATAATCTACCCAATTACAGTAAGGAAAAAACAAGCAGAAAGGAAACAAATGGAAATAACACACCTTCAACATTCCCAAGAGAGTCAAGAATTATTTCCATTACTAATTTTGCTAAGTTTTATTTTAGTTATTCCTTTATTTATGAGCATTCTGCTTAAGAATGTTTTTGAGAAGCTTTACAGTAATGACTACTGGAATAAAAATACTGCCTGTCTTTCAAATCGCAGCAGAGATGATGTTTATATAGAAAAACAAAAAATTGGGATAAAGAGAAAACTGCAAGTTATTGAAAAAACAGCAATTACAACGATAAATGTAAATCAATTTTGATCTCTAAACAAAAAGATCTCTCAGGCTAAAAAAATAAATCAAAGATATGCTGCTTTCATCTAAAGACATGATACAAAAGGATTAAAAATAAAGGGGAGTATGTATAATCAAAAACAGATAAAAAGCAGGAATAGAAAATTAAACCCTAAATTAAGATCTAATAAGGGAGGGCATAGCTCAGTGGTTGAGCACATGGCTAGCATGCACAAGGTCCTGGATTCAATCCCCAGTACCTCGACTAAAAATAAATAAATAAACCTAATTACCCCCCCGCCAAAAAAAAAGAAGAAGAAGAAGAAGAAGAAGATCTAATAGCTCCTTGAGAAAAACCTAGGAGAATCAATTAAAACATTACTAGAGTAAATAAATGAGAAAATAGAAAAACAACAGAATGGATACAGTCTGAGATCTGGTTCTCCAGGGAAAAATTCAATGAGTGATCAATCTCTCACAAATCTAATTTAAAAAAACTCCCACAATATCAAAGGATGGGAAAAGGGGTAATAATGGCTAATACTGCGATATAACTGCATGGATATTACTCTATTATGTACGAATGACTTATCCTGATGAACAAATAAATTTTGAATAAAATAAACTATCAAGATGACTCAGGGGTGAAGAGATGGATAGGAAATGATAAAGCAGGAACTACAGGCGTACCTTGGAGATATTGTGGGTCTGGTTCCAGATCATTGCAATAAAGTGAGTCACACTAGTTTTTTGGTTTCCCAGTGCATACAAAAGTTATGTTTACACTATACACTATTCAGTGTGCAATAGCATTTTGTCTAAAAAAAAGTACATACCTTAATTAAAAAGTTCTTTATTACTAAAACATGCTAAGCATCACCTGAGACTTCAGCGAGTGGTAGTAGTAACATCAACTTATCTGACTGCAGATCACCAAACAAATGTAACAATAATAACGAAAAAGTTTGAACTATTGCAAGAATTACCAAAACATGACCCAGAGACACTAAGAGAACAAATGTTGTTGGAAAAATGGCACCGATAGATGTACCGGATACAGGGCTGCCATAAAACTTCAATCTGTAAAAAACACATCTGCAAAGTGCAATAAAGCAAAGTGCGATAAAATGAGGTCTGCCTGAAAAAACAAAACAAAACAAAACAAAAGGTCTGCCTGAACAGTGAAAGGCTGATGGTAGAAGCCTGGGGGTGGGGTGTGACACACCCTAAGGTGACTCCCAGTGAGTCAAGCTCTTATATAATCCCCTTCCCTTGAGTGTGGGCAGAAGCAGTGACTGGCTTCTAACCGACAGACTATGGCAAAGGTGGCAGAGTGTATAAACCCTGACAGCAGTTTTATTTTCTTTTTTATGATGCAAGTGCCTGACTCCACTTGGATCACAGAGGCGTCCAACTCAAAGGGGCATCCCTTTCAAAGCCGGCTATCTCCAATATACATGCTGCCAGACGTGTGAGGAGATAAAGAATCAGGCCACTGCCGCCTCCTTTGTTTTAGAGATCTTAGTTGATTCTGATAACTGACTCTTTGGGTCACTTGTTTTTTTCTCTTCCCTTGCTTCTCCTCGCCCCTAACCACCCCCTACCCATCTACTGCAACCTCGCTGTGTGGCCCCAGGTGTGCCATGTCATTTCCAGGTCTTGCAAGTAATGAGCCTCTGTTTTGGTTTTTTTTCTCCAAAGTTCCCTGACAGTGATTGCTGAGTGAATCCTGCAATCATAATACGAACCACAAGGGCCAGTACAACCACAACAACACTGGTTATTAAACTGATAAGAACAGATACTACACTTGATCTTAGCCAAAAGGCCGAGAAGCGATAACACTGGTTATTGACAGAGACTGAGACTGGCACAAAAGAGGATGTCAATTCTATGACCGTGCTATATAACATAAGACTCTGTCTTAACTCACTATGGAGAAAGAGACTCCCTACTGGCTTTAACGGATGATGCTGTTCCATTGTGAGAAGGTCACATGGCAAGGAAAAGTGAGTGGCCGCTAGGAGCTGAGCACCCCTTGGCTGAGAGCTATTAAGAAACTAGGCCCTCACTCCCATAACCATAAGGAGATGAATTATGCCAACAACCACATGAGCCTGCAAGAAGATCGCAAGCCTCAGATGAGACTAAAGGCCTGGCCACATCATGACTAAAGCCTGGTGAGACTCTGAGCACAGAGCCCGGCCATGCCTCAACAGACTCCTGACCCACAGACATCTATCTATCTCACAGATAATTAATGTGTGTTGTTTAAAGCCACTAAGTTCATGGTAATTTCTTATGCAGCAATGGAAAGTTAATCGGGTGGGCATACAGGCATTCCTGTTAAAGTCTTTCAACTCTGCTCTTTGTTTAAAACTTTGAGGGGGAAGGAGGAAACCATCATTTTCATGGAGGTAAAACTTACATACAATAAAGTTAACCAGTCTTAAGTACAATTCAGTGAGTGGGTTTTACATGTATAAAGGTGTATAACAGCCACCACAATCACACTATAAAACATTTCTATCATCCGTCACGTTTGTTGCTTTCTCCCCTTTGCAACTGATCAACTCTCTAATTTTTACCCACTGTTTCCGCAAAAGCTTTCTGTTCTCTCCACCATCTGTTTCTAGGACTCCAGCAACACGTGTTAGAATGTCCTGTATTGTCACATACCACTGATGCACTGTTCCTTTGAAACTCTCCATAATAAAATATTGGGGGACAAAAAAGATGACTCAAGAATATGTTTCCAAAATAGACCAAGGAAGATATTCTAGTTGTCATCAAAAACATACCTCAAAGAACACAAAGCCCCAGGCCAGGGAGCTTTGCTGAAGGAAGAGTGAATCCCAAGGGCTCAGAAAAGACTGATAATCCACCAAATTTATTTCATCATATCAGCCCATTAAATTAAGACCGAAACAAGGAAATCTAGTTTGCTCATCACTTATTCCTGCCACCATGACACAAAACAGAAATACAAGATACTTAAACTGGGAAGATGACAACTGGATTATCCTTATTTCAGAAGATCTAATAACTTCTTGAGAAAAACCTAAAAGAATCAACTGAAACATTGCTAGAGTAAATAAAAGAATTTGGTCACTTTTTTTTTTAAACAAACTAGAGATATAAATAACCTGACAAGATCTTACAAGATCTTATTCACAAGAAACCACAAAGAGGCTTCCTCCTTGAGGTCAATAAACATAGCTAAAAAAAAAAACCTGCCATAATTAAAACAGTGTGGTACTGGTGCGTGAACATATATATATACCCTATTAAGAGCTTAAGTTAACCTCTATATTATAAAAGTAGATAAAAAATAAATTTCTTCTATATAGCACAGAGAACTATATTCATTATTTTTGTCATAACCTTTAATGAAAAAGAATATGAAAACGAATATGAAACGAACTGGGACATCATGCTGTGCACCAGAAACTGACACACTATAACTGATTATACTTCAATAAAAAAAACAAAGAGCTCAATGTAAAATAGGTAAAATAAATCAGTGGGGAAAAAGATGGATAGATAGTTATAGGTAAATGAGGTAACCAGGCAAAAATCAGATTTAAAGCTTATGTCAGGGTACCAAAACAAATTCTGGTTGGTCTAGATAGTTATATGCCAAAGAAAGGAAGGAGTGAAGGATGAATCAAAACCCTAAATGACAACAAAATGTTAAAGAAAAAGCTCTCCCTGACCCTCAACACTGTCATCCTAGGTGAGCACAGCCATGCGCGGGGGCCTGGGCAGGGGGCGGAAGAGACGGTGATTACCGCATCAATCTCGTTGAGAACCTTCCACTGCTCGTAAGGCACACCCAGTGCCTCGGCCGTCTGGATTGTCCTCTTCATCTGGCTTGTCCAGACCTTTAGGTCCTTGATGTTCTGATCACTGATGAACTGGGCCAGACTCTTAGCAAACTGAAACACATCCCCAGCAAATTAAGTGGCATGGGTCCTGAGCTGCCATCAAAGGACCCCACAGCCACAGGGTCCATGGAGTCATGTTCAGCCTCAGAAAACACAGGTTCGGTAAAAAATACGACCTAACCTCTCAATGACACCCACACCCACAAGTGCATTTCTTTTGCATTCTTCCCTGACCCTGAGTGTAGTTCCAGCTGGGGCTGAGTCCCCAGCCAGTGCTCACCCCACAACCAGGTGCCCTGGGCTGGTGGACCTCCCCACTGAGGCCTCAGTTTCTCTCCAGGACTGTGGCACAGCATCAGCTGTACTGTGGGGACTCAGGTCATGCCCAGAATCGGAATTGGCTCAGCTGGTGACATCTCACACAGAAGCCAGAGATCCAGGCATCTGCTGGGTGCTTGGTGACCTTCCTTAAATGCTGGGAACATTCCAGACTGCATAAGGCCACCCACCTGGCTTGCCCACTAGCTGGAGTCCAGCACGAGTACACACACACACACACACACACTCACACACACTGACCTCCCTGCCCCGGGGGGACAGGCCTGGGTCCCCGCCGATCCGGCCCTTGAGGTTGAGCTCACTCTCCCCGTGCCGGCAGAGGTAGATGGAGCGGGGTGTCACATGGATGTTCATAAGGTAATACACAATGCGGCTCTGGATGTGGTCGGCCACACGGTTCACCACGTAGCTCTGCCCCACGTCCATGATCTTGATGTAGGACAGATCCCTTCCCGACAGAAGGCAGAGAAAGGCCTGTGAGTGTGACCCAGGGGCCTTGCATCTCTGACCACCAGGCTGGAGACTGTGACACACAGGACTGACAACTGGTGTGCGAGTGATGGGGGTGAGGTGGGAGCAACGGGACAGGCATGACACACAGACAAACCCTGTGAGAGGTGCTGCATACTCATCATGCTTGCAAAACGTGAGGGGTCAGTCCTACCACATCGGGACTTTCATCGCTGCTCTACATCCCCCAGGCCCCTCTTGACTACATCTGAGCTCTCAACGCACTGTCTGTAAGGTGAACAAGAGACAGTTTGCTCCAGGATTGACCTAGGAGTAGCTGGCAAACACTCATCCCCTCCACTCTTCCTGGTCAGCCACCCACAGGCCTGGCCTTGCCTTCCACCAGTGATCCTCCCCATGGAGAAAAGCCCGGGGCACCTGTGTGTGCCAAGCGGCAGCCACACGCCACACCAGACAGCAGGTGGACAAGACAAGAAGCACAGGAGGACGGTGCTGGTGGCAGCAGCCTATAAGCCCAGCTTGGCCACTTCCCCTGCTTGGACCAGTGCGGCACTGCAGTGTGGAGAACTGGCTTTGGTTTATGTCTGCAGGGGCGGGGGCGGGGGGGGCAGCAAGAAGAAAGCGGGGCTTCTCAGGCATCGAGCTCCGGTTCAGCTGGGAGCCCCCCTGGGTGGTCTCATTTGAGTTCTCATTGTCTGGATTGTGACCTTGGTTTAGGTTTAGGGTTGTTATACTGATGCTACCGATAAAAAGAGCAGCATTTACTGACAAATCCAACAAGAGCTGCGTCAGAAAAGCCCCACAAGCCCAGTCTCCTCACAGAACCATGGGGAGAGATGCTGTGCCAGGGAGACCAGGAAACGTGGAAAAGCACAGAGAGGCCCGGGCAGCAAGCGCCACCTTGCACCAGCCCAGCTGAGGAGACTTCCAGCCAGTCCAGGGACTGACGCGTGAACACCCTAGAAACCATCCCTCCAACAGACGCTTGCTTTCCTTGGTCCGTACGCATTATATACTCATACGTAATTATAAACCACCCAAACACCAGTTCACATTCCAGCCTTTTCATTTAATGCTACATAACAGACACTTTCCTATGTCTCTCTGGCATGGGTGCTAAGAACCGTGTAAATGTCACTGTTACGCACTTAACCACTGCCCCCACTTCCACTATAATCCAGGAGCTGGCGGATCAGGGCCAGCAAGTCAAACTCAGCCTGCAGCCTGGTTTTGTAAATAAAGTTTTATTGGAACACAGACATGCCCATTTATTTACATATTGTCCGTGCTCCTTTGCACTAAACTGCAAAGTTAAGTAGCTGTGACAGAGACTGTATGTCTCCAAAGCCTAAAATACCTACCACCTGACCCTTTACAGAAAAAGAGTTTGCCCACGGCTGCTGTAAGAGCCTCAGCCGAACACCCCTTAGGGGTGCCTCCTCTAAAAATAAATAGGTTAAACCTAATTACCTACCCACCTACCCAAAAAAAAAACCCGAAACAAAAAAACTAAAATAACTTTACCCAAAAAAACCCCAGATGGAGAGAAAAGAGCAGCCTTTCTCATCCCAAATCCACTCAGGAGCCCACCTGCCTCAGGGAGGCACAGGAGGCAGCCGAGTGGACTGCCCACCCACCACAGCTGAGGACCCAGTGCTGCCCCGGCTCACCTGTCCAGGTCCTCATCCAGCGACTCGTACGAATTCTCATAGCACTCAATGCGCCTCATGAAATCCTCCGTGGCCTCATCACTGTCACGGTTGACATAGTCGGGGCTGCCCAGTTTCACTTGCTGCCGGAGCCAGGCACAGAGCAAGGACACATCAGGGTGGGAGGCCAGGCAGGGTCGGAGACCAAGGAGGACGCTGGACAGGGGGTGGGGGGAGACTGGGCCAAGGCTGGGGCGCAGGGCTGGAAGCTGATCCCGGGGGCTGGCCCCATTAGGAAGAGTCCAGCGGCTCCCTGGTCCGAGCTCCCACACCAGTGCTAAAAGACTATTACTGGGCACCCCATGATCACAGTCCTTCATCTTTGTGGTACAGGGAGGTGAGGCCAGAGGGGCAAGCGGCCTCGAAGCCCCTCCCCATCTGAACTGTCTCCCCAAACCCAGATGTTCACACCTGGGATAAACCAGGGGAGGGGAGAACGGTCAAGTTTCTTTCTCTTTCAAAATATAAACACCACCCCCCACCTCACTCTCCTACAGCCAGGACTGAAGCTCCTCTTTCATCATCGCGGGAAGCGTGATGGGGAAGGAGAGGAAAGTTAAGAGAGAGGAGGAAGCATGAACGCCCACCAGCCACAGGGCCCTCCACACCAGCGGTCCTTGGGGGTCTAGGATCCCTGACCCAGCCATCTACAGCCTCCCCACCCCACCCCAATGTTCAAGGAGACCAAATTAAGACCAGCCCAGACATCCACCCAACCTAAAGAGGGACCTCAGTGTCACATGCCATCTTGGTTGTGTTACTGCCCCCACAAGGTCAGATGTACCACTCACCACGATGTTGGCAGCTATGACCTCAGGATCCACACAGATGGACTCGACAAAAAAGGTCTGCGGCAAAGACCGGGGCGGGCAGGAGGGGAGGAACCACAGACACATTTAGGGCCCTGGGCCTGGCTCCCCAGTGCTCCCTACCCACTGAGGGCCATGCTGACCAGCAGCCAGGGCCTCAAGGTCCTTCTCAGGGTAGGGCAGGGTCAAAGAGCATGGAACCAAAGCAGGTGCTGCCTTATCCAGGACTGTCCCACAAAGACCCCTGCCTCCCTGGAAAGAGAACCCCAGGTGGGGGGGAGTATATAGCTCAAGTGGTAGAGCACATGCTTAGCATGCATGAGGTTGTAGGTTCAATCCCCAGTGCCTCCTCTAAAAATAAATAGGTTAAACC